ACTACTTCAGCTGACTGCTAGTTCAGCAGATCAGCGGATCAAATCTCACCGGCTCAAGATTGACTCAGCCTTCCATCCTTCCGAGGTGGGTAAAATGAGGACCCAGATTGTTGGGGGCAATATGCTATTTAGTATACTGTCTTTGGTGTAAGGCGTCCAGAGTCCTTGGAGAGTGGGCGGCATAGAAATATGAATAATAAAATAAATAAATAAATAAATAAATAAATAAATAAAGTAAATCTTATATCTAGAAAATTAGATTCTCACCTAGATGATGCACTTTCTCTTAGTTTCTCTGCTCCGTTGCGACTGCCCCTGCTTCTTAGGAGCTCCTATGACGGCTTTCCTCAGCTGTTCAGTTCAAGAAGCTACCTCTGATCAACCTGGGAGTTTGCAGATTCCCTGAGTTGATCAGTCCATGCTTCTCTAGTTTGCTGTCCCTACTAGACAGCTTAGGTCAATTAAGACCCCCGATCAGCTGGGATATCAGCGGAGCCCCAAAAAAACCCACTGTCCCGCAGCGACGCTGGTTATGTCCAATCTTATTTTCAAAGACATTATGTAAGAAATGCATTATTATTGGTGTGGGAGAAGATCAGAGATAAATATTATTTGAAAATACCAACATGGTTATCAACAATGGAAGCGTTAATACATCCAAATATTATCAATATTAGAAATATTCTTAGATATAAAGATATATTAACAGATAAGGGGGAATTGAAGGGGAAACAAGAAATAGAAGAACAAGGGATTGAGTTGGATTGGTATACTCAAACTCAAATACGAACAAGATATGAAAAAGATGGTAAATTATATGGTTTTTATTTAGAAATGACAGAACTGGATAGGATACTCACGGGAACAGATGATAAAATAGCTTTAAAAATATACAATTACTTACTTAGTATTGATTTAAAAGAAGAACAAATAAAAGAAACAATTATAGTTTGGGCAAAAATTTTTGGATATTCAATTAAGCTACATTAATGGCAACAATTATGGGAAAGGAATTACAAATTAACAATGTCCACAGCATATAAAGAAAATCAATATAAAATGTTTTACAGATGGCACATGCCACCTGAAAAACTGGCAAAAATGTTTAAAGATAAATCAGCTAAATGCTGGAAATGTCATCAGATACCAGGATCATATTATAATATGTGGTGGACATGTCCAGAAGCAAAAAACTATTGGATTAAAGTTAAAACATGGTTGGAAGAAATTATACAACATATAGATTTAAAACCAGAACTGTTCCTATTGGGAATCTTACCAGAGAAATTTAGTAAAGAAAATATATATTTGATTACTCACATAATAACTGCAGCGAGGATAGTATTTGCACAAAGATGGAAAACAGAGAAAATCCCTACAGAGGGTGAAGTAATTAAGAACAGATTGGATTGCGCAGAAATGAATAGATTGACTTGGACAATCAAAGAAAGAGAGGAATCTGAATGCCTGCCTTGCTTCGCTTGCTGCAATCTCTGAAATCCATTGCATCAGTAAGCAACTTAATCTGCCTGCCTGCAATCAATCCAATCAGTGAGCAACTCAATCTGCCTGCCTGCCTGCCTTGTCCCTTCAATTGGGTAAGTAATTGTGGGTTTTTTTTTCCTTTGGGAGCTTTAAAAATAATAGTTAATTGGGGGTTTTTTTTAGGAGTTTTTTTTTTTAGACATAGCCATTTAAAGTTTGGGAAGTTTTAAATTTAGCTGCTTTTATCTAAAAATAAAAATAAAATAATAAAATAAAATATTTCTGCAGCTTTCTGAGATTTGGTGTGTTTCTGTAGTGTTTCACTCTAACTACACAAACACACACACTCTCACAAAGCTTTATGTGGCCTTTTGTGTGGAAAAAGTGTGAAAGTTGGTTTTGGGGCTTTTTGTGGCTATGTGAGGTTCCTGCTTGTTGCATTCAAGGCCAACAGTTGTGAAAATAGTTGAGTGCATGGCAAACATTAAAAATTAAAACCAAAATATTTTCTAGCATCATTGCACGGAATCTGAAAATATGTCTGATCATTGATGAAGCCTCAACAGTATCCTGCAAACCAGTTCTGTTAGTTTTCTTAAAAGTTGAGGACTCAGAGGACCCACCAACAATTTTTGTCGAACTTGTTGAATTGAAGAAACAAGATGCAGAGACAATATGTTCTGCAGTTTTTGAAAGTTTGCATAAGGTTGGATTTACCTGGGACTAACTACAAAAAAATTTAATAGAGTTCTGCTCTGATAGTGCCAGTGTTATGCTTGGGAGAAAATCTGGAGTGAGCACCAGAATAGCAAAAGAGTTTCCAAACATCATCATATGGCACTGCTTGAACCATCACCTCCAACTTGTTTTAGATGACACCATAAAGGAAATAAAGCAAGTAAATCATTTTAAAATTTTTATTGATAAGATATGCTCTATTTTCCAGCAGTCCAATAAAAATCGAATTGAACTTGATGAAATATCTGAAGAACTTGAAATTAACATCATAAGGGTTGGTCGAGTTTTTGGGCCAAGATGGGCTGCCTGTAGTTTACGGGCAACCATAGCTGTGTGGCGTGCTTATCCTGTGCTACATCAATATTTTCATGGGAATGCAAAATACTCAGGTATGGCTGCCCGTCTGGAAAATAAACATTTCTTAAACGATTTGGCGTTGATGATAGACATTTTGGAGGAAATTTCACTTCTTTCAACTGCACTACAAGCACGCAATATGGACATAATAAAAGCTGAAAAACTGGAGAGAAGATCAATAAAGTCATTTGAACTGCTAACAAAGTGAAAGGGCCCATACGAAAGAAAAGTTGAAGGACTAATTACCTCAGAAACCTTCAGGAATGTAAACTTTATAGAAAACCATTGATTTATTGGTCTTCATCGAGAAAGACTTTTACAAAGTATCATCAAAAATTTTCAGAAATGACTGATGGACTGTGAGCATTTAAAAACTGGGAACCAACTGCAAGACATCACAAATAAACTACAGTTTCTACAGTTTTTGGTACCAGAGTACTGGGATTTTGAGGAAATAGTCGTTCCATGGGCAGCAGCTGAAGAACAACTCTGACATTTTCAACTACAACATTGACATTAACGACTATAGAGATTTTGTGGAGAATGTCTTACAAGATTCAAAGAGGTATGCAATTCCTAACAGTATCAAAAAAGCAAAAGATATTGTCAGAACAATTACAGTGAGTTCTGCAGAAGTGGAAAGGGGTTTTTCGAAAATGAACCTGATATGTTCAGAGAGCAGAAATTGCCTAGCTATTTCGAATCTAACCAATCTCATGACCATCAACGTTACTGGACTACCTCTTCCAAAATGGGACCCTATTCCTGCAGTGAAAAAATGGTTCAGAGAACACCATTGCTCAGCCAATGATCCGCGCATCAAGTGCAAGAAAAGTAGAAGTGATGAGACTGCCACTGAAATAGCTATGTGGAAACATCCCAAAGCTAAAGACGACTAACAGTTTTATGTAAGTATTTATGTACCTATTTTGTTTTTTAATTGTTTTGTGTACTTCTGTTATTTTTATTTACGTATTAAATGGTTAAATTTGTATATCATGTTATATCTCTTCGTAGGTCATTATTATCATTGGTGCAAGAAGCGACGTTGAAGACAACACTTTTATTGCTCTTATGTAAGTATTTGTGTACTTCTTATTGTTTTGTGTACTTCATTTATTATTCTTTTTGTAGGTAAACAAAGGGCAAAGTAGTGATGTCGACTTGGCCACGCCCACCTGACCACCAACCCACACCCACCAATTAAGCCACGCCCACAGAACTGGTAGCGAAAATGTTTAGATTTCATCCCTGGTATACTGGATTTAATTATTACTAATAGAGATGAAATAATTGAAGGGATGGAAGTTGCAGAACTTTGGGGGAGAGTGACCATGTCATACTAGAATTCAAAATCATTCAGGCACAAATAATAGAACTAGTATCTTAGACTTTAAGAGAGTTATCTTCAGAAAACCTAACCCTAACGCAAACTCCAAATAGCTTTGGAAGGATTCTATAGATAGCAATCCTAAAGGGGGAAATAAATCAAGATGCTTGGGAAACACTGAAAAATGAGATTATAAAAGTACAGTCTAGCAGAATGCCACAGAGAAAGAAAAACAAGGGACCCCAGACAAAACCAGCATGGTTGCATAAAGAACTCTCTCATAAACTGTGAGATAAAAAGGACAAGTATAAAAAATGGAAAGAGGGACACATAACCAAAACAGAACACTAGCAAATAGCTTGAACCTGCAAGGATGAAATCAGGAGACCCAAGGCTCAGAATGAACTAAGTAAAACCAGTGTATAATGCTCTAAAACATGTTTAAGAATAAAAAATATTTTATCAGAAGTCTGGCTTAATATTAAAAAAACTCTATATGATGTGCCTTTAACTATTTAAATGGATTAAGGACATGTGTTGGTGTCACAGATGTCTTACCTAGGGGTGTAAATGTGCATGTACTTTTATATTCAAAGTATCCCATGTTGTTCATTTATTGTTTCTGAATGATTTTCAGGTAATGCTGACTAGAAGCCCTCCGAGGTCCTTTTCAATTCTATTATGTGTATGAATTTAGTATTTCCCTTTAGTCCCCACTTTGACAGCTTCGTTCAAACCCCGTGTGCTCCCTGCTTTTCCTTGAAACGGTGGTCTAATTAGGACCATTCCTTTCTGCCTCCCTTCTTTCGAGGCTCGTAAATCCTTGTTCGCAGAAATTCAACAAGTCAAGAAAAACGCATCCTTCTAAACTGCATCTCCTGAACTCCTAACCACAACGAGGAGAGCAGCGGCAGCTTACACGCTTCTGCGCTGCCTGCAATCGAAATCAAGACCCGCCCAATACCAAAGATGATCGACCTCGAGCGCCAGCTCCCCATCACCATGGCAACTGCAAACCTCGCTAGTCAAGGGCTCAAGGAGAAGGCAAGTCATGTGCTCCGGAAGAACCGCCTTTTGGCGCCCCCTTTGGCAGGAAGTGGGTAAACGAGAAGACAAGGAGGGGGAAGCCTGAGCCAAGGAAATTAAATACTCGGCGGAGTGGTCGGTTTATATCGGAAAGCGGCTTTGACTTCGGGAAAGGCGATCTGCCGAGGGGGCGCGGTGGCAGCCCTTTGGGCCCCTCCCCTCCTTCCTGGGTTTCTTCGCTGCTGCCGCCGGATCCCGGCTCCGCCCCGCCCCCGTTGCTGGGAGGGCTGGTCTGGGTCGTTGGCGCGCCCCCTTCGGGGTAGACGCTAGGCCTAGCTGGAACCAGAGGTAAGGAAGTGGTGCCCGACCCAGGACCACACCTGCAAGTCACTTTTCCTCCTGCAGCCATTGCGGTTCCCGCCCCTCCTTTCGCCCCATGCAGTTTCGGACCATTTTTTGTTAGTGAGCTTCTTGTTCGTGGTCTGTTTTTCTCACCGGTCTCTTGATTGTTCACACAATGAGTAGTCGTATCCCCGGTCAATTGTTTACTCTGTCTTGTTCCGCTCGTGCCTGTTCCTTTGATAGCTGCACTTGAAACACGTGTTTCCCGCGTTAATATTTTACCTGCACAATCTCTGTAGGGCATTCTTGTAAACAATGCTTGCAGTACTTTTTGCAGAATGAAGGCTTCAGCACCCTACCTGGTCCTTCTCTGCCTGCCTGCCTATTCTTACCATCTATTAAAAATTATTTCTGGAACCTAGAGAAGAATTCTGCCGCTTTCTGGTTAACTGCCGAAAAGCGGCTGACCGACTTCTTTTGTAGAATAAGGCTCATTTGGATTCTTATTGATTAAAAGCATCAAAAGGCAAGGTAGTTAATTCCGGAGCTGGCTAACAAACTTCCAAAATCTACATTTATTTCACTCAGGAATTCAAGATTTTATTGGGGGTAGATAAATGGCAGACAAAAGGTATCAAGAAGTGAATCAGACTAAAAATAAAAATTAAAACATAACTTGCCTCTAGTATCTAGACATCCGATTTCGAACTAAGGATAAATTTTCTGACAGAAGAATCAGTGGAACAACTTGTCTTAAGAAGTTGTGGGTGCTTCATCACTGGAACTCCCTGCTTGAGCAGAGGGTTGGGCTAGAAGACTTCCAAGGTCCTTTCCAACTCTTATTCTGTTACCCATTCTTTCCTTAGGATTTGTCCTAATTAAAACAAATTCTAATTTTTTTCTCTTGGAGAAAGAAACATTAGCTCATTGAAAACTTAAACTGCAAATTGTGTCAGAACCAATTGACAAAGATATTCAACCTTTTAAGGAGAATGGAAATGCAAGCAGTTGAAGATTGATTCAGAAGGCATGGGGGAATCATGTTATTGCTTTCAAAAATTTCTTCCCCTGCTTCTAGCAACATAATTTCTGATATTAAAGAGGTCCAGTGCCTTTATTATAAGTTTCAGTAGAGAAAATACAATGAATACAGTTGCCTTAAAAGGTTCTCCAAAGTTATAGCCATTAGTGCCATTTGCTTGCAAGAATGACTTTTAATGTCTGCCAGAGTACATGGGCTAATTTTGCAATAGTTTTGAAATAGTTAACTTTACATTGACATGAGTAGAGAGCACGGTCCCTATAGTTGTTTAGGGTTATGCTTGAAAGTTTGCTCTTTTCCCCCAGGGTTAGGGTTTAGAATGTTCAGGTGTAGGGGGAAGAGAGAGAGACAAAAGAAAAAGTAGAATGCAAATATTTTTAAAACAAAAGCATTAAAGGGTGAACTAGTATTGTCACTGCATTGTGTATAAAGTCCTAGGAAAGAATATGCTAACATCACTTTATTGCTGAGTTGCAGTCTGAAATCCAGGGCAACATGTAGGCTCCCAAAACTCTAGTATGATTCCTAGAGATCTCCAAAGGTTGTTACTAAAAGATTTTAAAGTTAAATTAGCTAATTTTTAGAAGCTTAGTTTTTGTTCCCGGCTATCTGTTGCTTTTTTTGAGCTCAATTAGTACTCAGACTCTTGATACTGTACCTCCTTTTTCCCAGAAAAAGAATAGAATAGAATTCTTTATTGGCCAAGTGTGATTGGACACACACGGAATTTGTCTTGTGTGTCTTGCATACGCTGTCAGTGTACATAAAAGAAAAGATACATTCGTCAAGAATCATAAGGTACAACACTTAATGATAGTCATAGGGAACAAATAAGCAATCAAATCATATTAGAAAACAGTCAATATAAATCGTAAGGATACCAGCAACAAGAATTCTGCACTAATATGTTTGGCAGAGGCAAGTTGTATAAACTTTAAAATAATTTACTTTGGTTTGCTGATAATTTATAAGTTTGAAAACCCATTGTGATCAAGTTTCAATAGCACTGTAGCTGTATTTTGAACTAATTCAGGTTTTTGAATCATCTTTGAAGATAATCCCATTCAATGTTTTGCAGCAAATAACAAGAAAATATGAGTGTTGCCAGTTTATCTTTGGCCCAGAAATAGTTATAGCTGGTATCTCAACAATCAAAAACAGTCTGGTGATATCTTGCCAAATTAGCAAATTATTATAAAGCACTTCAGAACAGTCTTAAGTTGATAAATTTTTGCTTACTGGCTGAGCTCTGTTATTCTTTCTTCCTTTATTTATTAGATTTCTTTGCTGTCCATCTTGCTTTTAGGTGCCTTTGGGCAGCTTACAACATCAAGAGTAAAACCATGAAGAATAAATATTTCTAATAATGTAAAAATACATTATTATACATGCCCGCTGTGGGGCAATTTGCTGTGGGACAATTTAACAATTCTATTTACCGGTAATTATTTTAAATAAATAAAAATATTTTAATTTTTGCAATTCACATTTCATTCTGTCTCTCCCTTTTGCATACTTTCTTTAATGATTCTATTCCACTATTTCTTTGATATTAGTGTAACTCTTGTCTGGCAGCGAGTTGTCCTGCAGCGAGTTGGGTGGGCGAGTTGTCCCGCAGTGAATTGGCCATGGCAAATTAGCTGTGGCAAGTGAGTTGGCTGTGGTGAATTGTCATAGACCGTTCTCAAATAGTCTGGACCCATGCTATGCTAGGCTTTCAAGGAGATAACCAACACTTTGAATTGCACCCAGAATCCAACTGGCAGCCAGTCCAGCTTGCAGAACAGTGGTGTAACATAGGCCACTCTAGGGCTCCCCAGAATTGCCTGTGCAACTGCACTCTGCATCACTTAGTTTCCAAAGCTGTTCAAGAATAGCCCTTATTATATGATAAGAAGGTGAATAAGATTTTTAAAAGCCATATATTAAGGAATGCTTTATTGCGTGTCTGGAAAAAATATCAATACAAATTAAATGATAAGATACCTATATGGGCAGTACCCAGACATGCCATAGAGAACATAAGTGCAGAACAAAAACAAGATGTGATTACATATAAAGAGCTTCTTAATATGGAAAGAGGTACATTACAGTTAAAGTCTTTGAATGTATTAAAAGAAGAAAGGATAATTCAAACTTGGTTTCAGCATGGACAGCTACAAGCTAGATGGAAAGAGGATCAGAAAATTGGCATCATGCAAAATGAGGAAAACTTGGTAAAACAAATCCGAGATCAGAGCCAAATGCATATAAAAAGGTTGTATAACACATTGATAGAAATAGACTCAGAAACGGAGTTAGTTAAAGATTGTATGATAAAATGGGCACAAAATATTGAGGAGCCAATAATGATGGAAACGTGGGAGAAAATATGGGTTAGAAATGTAAAATTTACACAAGCCCAAAACTTGAGAGAAAATTTTTACAAAATGTTTTATAGATGGCATCTAGATCCTAAAAAGTTAGCTTGTATGTATCCAAGCTTGCAATCCAAGTGTTGGAGATGTGAGTGTGATGATGCCACGTATTATCATATATGGTGGACAAGTAAAAAAAAGCATTTTGGATAAAAATATGGTGGATTATGCAAAATATTCTTAAAAAGATAAAGTTTACTCCACAGCTGTTTTTAGGGTATAATTACAGATTGTATGGTTATGGAGACTAATTTGATTTTAAATTTAATAACCGCAGCAAGACTTTTGGTGGCCCAGTATTGGAAGAAGGAAGATTTTCCTACTATTGAAGAATGGACACTAAAAGTAATGAACTTAGCAGAGATGGCCAAAATTTCAGCGTATTTGAAGGACCATTCAAATGAAAGATATATTTTGGAATGGAGAAGATGGATTAACTATATTCAAAACAAATATGGGATTAAAAAGTTTCAAATATTTTATGAATGAATAAAGAGACTTTAGAAAGTATTTAAATTTAGTCATGTAAAAGGGGAGTTAAAAGTACAAGAGGGAGATAGGAGTCTATAGATAGTTAGCATATGTTAGTATATGATTGTTAAATGCTATACCCTGTATTTTGCTCTGGGAAGTCGGGGGGGGGGTTGGGGAGGGAGGTGGGAGGTGGGATGGGAAAACATTTGTAAAATTCTTTAAAACTTTTTAATAAAAAAAAAAGAATAGTCCCATGAAGAGCGTGTTGCAGTAGTCCAAATGTAAGATGACCAGGGCTTGACTAACTGAATGCAGGGATTCCCAATCCAGGAAATGGCGCAATTGATATACAACATGAAGTTGTGCAAAGGCTCTCCTAGCCATGACTACCACCTGCTCTTTGAGCAAGAATTCTGACTCCCGGATAACCCGCAGCGCAACCCCATTCAGAACTAAAGATGTTAGAGTCCCAAATCTTGAAGCTCAATGCACCCAAAACCATTTTGTTTGCCTTGATTAAGTTGAAGCCTGTTGTCCCCCTCACATTCCCCTGGCACCATGAGAGGGTAGCTACATCACTTGGATCACCAGGGTTGGAGATATAAAATTGAGTATCATTAGCATCATTAGATACTTCATCCCCTGGTGGCGGATGATTTCATCCAGCAGCTTCATGTATATGTTAAAAAGGAGTACCAAACCCTGTGGCATGCCACAAAAGAACAGCCATGGACTGGATCTTTCACTCCCTATCAACACTGATTGGGACTGACCGTGGAGAAAGGAGCCAAATCAGTACAACACTGTGCTCCCCAGCCTCAAACCTCATAGGTGCCCAAAAGGATACGATGGTTGATGATATTGAAGGCCGCTGAGAGGTCAAGGAGAACAAAAATGATTGCAATACCCCCATCCCACGCTCACCAGAGATCATCAAGTGATACTGGGCCTGAAACCTGACTGGAAGAAGTCTACATAATCAGTTTCATCCAGGACCCTCTGAAGCTGCCAAGCAACAATGTTTTCTACCACTTTCCCTAGAAAGGGAAGATGGGAAACTGCCATTTCTCTCT